AAAAATATTTTACATGACAATATATGTTATTTATATATTGTAAAAAGTATAGTCATAAATAGTGCAAAAGTCAAACTGTTGCGATTACTACAAAACGGAGGGAGTATGTTTTTTAGAGGTAATAAGTTCATATGAGTTTTGTTCAGAATTTCAACTTTATTAGGAACCCTATTTTTACATTTAAGAGTAGGGGTGTTAAAAAAAACCCGACCTGATTACTTGATGACCCGCAAAATACCCGACAGGTATTTAGATAATTTTTTTGAAATTTTCGGGTCGGGTACCCGACCCGCAAAAATGTTCAGGTCACGGTCGGGTACCCGCTGACCCGCTTGATAGCTTTTTTTTTTTTCCTGAAATAGCTAGGTTAACTTGACGTTGGGCCTTCTTAAACATCAAAAGCCCTTATTACTCTCCTTGTAGCCCCCATTCCTTCTCACTACTCCTTCTTGTACTGGTAATCTATTCATCTTCATCCCCATCCCCATCTCCTTCTACATCCAACATCTCTTATCTCAGTATTCTCAATTATGATAAAAAAAAATAGCCATCATTGTTCCTTTTCCCTTAACTTTGCATGTATCTGTAACACCCCTAAATCTCCTTCTACGGAAATAATAGTATAATACGTATAATTATACCGTAGAGATAGGACTTAGGCGTATTACCGTCGTGTGATTGCGCAAGGCTACTCAACTACTAACCAAAATCAATACTTTGCAGCGGAAATATAACCTCTATCTTTATTAACAATAACTATAAATAGAAATCATCGTCATGAGTACTCATAATTAAACCAAGACCAACAATCCTAATCTAGGCGAAGAACATTCCCAGGCCTCCTATATGCTCAATTCTTGACTCCACCTGAAATTAGTCAACACTGCTTACCATTATGGTAAACAGGGCGAACCAAAACAAATAAGAAATACGGATTAGCAAAATATGCTAAGTACGATAAGTGTAAGATAAGTAAATTCAATTTATTTGCAAACATGCTTTTAAAACCAATTCCAATAATTAATCCAATGAACTCCAAAACTCATGATTTCAAATCAATTCCCAATAATTCGATGAAATGATTTATAAAACCAATTTCCTCTTTTGAAAACCAACTCCTCTCTTGAAAACCAATTCTCAAATATTCTCAGAATAATTCCAATAACTCAATAATAATGATTAGTCAAATTAATTATTTTCGAAAACTCAACCTCCTGTCTAAGTGTGCACACCCCCCAAGCTAGTCTCCTACTATTTCAAGGCTATTCTTGGAGAAAGACTAGGTCATACAAAGTCCATAGTCTTCAATGAATCCGCATAGTGGGATTAATATAATAATCATGCTTATAAATTTTTTATAAATAATTCAATCATTCTCATGAAACTCCTCTTTGAATAAAATCAACCTTTATAATAGAATAACTCAAAAACTCCTTTTGTATTTAATTCAATAATTATATAAGTTTTTAAAATCAAACCCTTTCAAAAACTCTTTAAAACAATCCAACATACTTTTTATAAGCAAGTTCCCTTAAACATAATAAATAATTTCAAACCATTCAAAACATGATATTAAAATCAATCCTTCAAAAAGACACTTATTAAAGCAAATATTAAAATCAATTCCTCCAACCATGCTTTATTTCATAAATCATAATTCAAATCAATTTAATTCAATCACCAATAAAATCATATAAAATATGTTATTCAAACCAATCACTTTTAAAGGTATCTAGCCACCTAAACGTACCTTGGTTCCGAATATCAATCAACACTTCACACTTTCAAAGTTCAATCACGAATACACCTTGCAATTAACATAACCATAAGGTTATCACAACATCTTTTGACATAAACCCAAATCTAATGTGCATGGACTATAAAACTCTTTTTTAAAAATAATACTTTTAATATAAAATTATAGCTTTGAAATAGGTATTTATATTTTAGAAAACTAACCATGAAGAAAATAAAGGAATAGGATTAAGGAGAATTGGATTTGCGTTGGAAAGAATAGGCAGAACTTGCAAAGGCCATAACTCTGAATTGGGTGATTCTTGAGCCTAACCTCAAGGATTTTTTGAGAGGAACAATTTTCTATGAAATAGAAAAACCCCAAAACTGACCAAAAGTGCCCGAAAATTGGATCCAAAGATATACGGGCTGATTTTCTTTTAGAAAAGAGGAGAAGAAAAGTAGGAAAAGGTTGAGGGAAAAGAAGAGTAAGAGAGTAGAAGAGAATTGAGTTTTTGGTGTGAAGAATATGATAGGTATGAGGGGGTATTTATAGACAAGCTCATGCAAGAATTATGGTAGGAGAATGTAGGAAGAATTATGGTAAATTGGTTTAAGAAAAATTACTTGGAGAAGAGAGCTAAAGAATTATGGAAAGTCTAGGTTATGGTGATTAAGTAATGAAGAAATACGGTAAGTATGTAGTCATGGAATATTAAATGGTAAATGGCTTTGATTGGGGAATAATCAAGAACGATTTAAGGTAGGGAAATAAGATGATCAAATATTTAGGAGATGGAAAATAAGAATTAAGAAAAATAATAGAATTGAGGAAGATAATTAAAATACAAAATTACCAAATAATTTTTCTCAAAATACAATATAGTGCCCGAAAATTTGAGCTTTCCTAAGCTCATATTTTTGGACCTCCCTTTAAATATTTAGGCAATTATTTTGCTAGTTCTTAAGGAATAAAAATGATTGTGTAAATAATATATTTTGTATATAATAATTAATTAGAAAAATACCAATTATTCACTAATTAATTTAACTAAGAAAATCAGATTTTTACACTTAGAAAATTCGAAAATCCTAGCTAATTAATTAGGGAAATTCGGCCCTTTTAAAATAAATATAATTTTGCTTAATTAAAATATCAGAAATATATATAAATAATTCAGTTTTTAAAATAAAATAAATGGATAATTCAAAATTCAAATATAATTAGGTTTTAAAATACTTTTGGCGCCAAAATTCAAATATCATTTTGGCTCCAAAATTCAAATAGTAAAATAAATTACTGAAATACCCTTTTTAGAAAATAATAACTAACTAATTAATTAATTAGAATATACGTTCAAAAATACAGAGTATTACAATATCCTTAATGGAGACACTTTTAAGCTTCAAATTGTTAAATCAGCAGAAAATCAAAGGGTAATTTTCAATGACTTGCAGTTTTTTTTTTTGAAGATTTACAGGCGACAGAGGTATCAAAGATGAGAGGGATTAAGGATGATTTTCAAAGATTTGGGTTTATTGTCTAAATTCTTTCTCTATTATTTTTTATTTTTTTTTCAAAATTGGATTTGGGTTTAATTTTGTAATTAAATGGAATTGATGAAATTAGGATTTGTTAGTGATTAATCTTATTATTTTTACTGTACAATGTCTATACTACATTTTTGATGATTACTTGTGGAAATTATACAAATTAATCAAGTGATTACCGTAGCTTAATGTTTGAAAATCATTCAAAAAAAAGTTTGTGTATCAAATTATTAATTCATATTATATGTAAAGGAAAAGGGAAAAAAAAATCCGGGTACCCATGACCCGACCTGATAAAATCGGGTACCCGATAGCCGGGTATCCGGTCTTATCGGATCAGGTCATAGGCCGACTTTTCAATTACCCGAAGATCCGGGTACCCGGATATGAACACCCCTATTTAAGAGCATTTAGTATGCAATCTGCAAGAAAAGTTAAGGGAATGAAATATATTGATTCCATCACTTGTTTATAATATTAGAGGTAATAAGTTCATATAAGTAATTTATTCTCTTTATACTATGATTTATCTTCCCCCTAAGAGCAATGACAATGGTGGGCAATAATTTAGTTCATGGGCATTTTGGTGGGCAATAAATTAGCTCATGGATTGCAATGGTGGGCTAATGAAGAAATGCCCATGAGTTGGGCAAAATTGCAAGTGAATAGTGCTATGATGGGGCCCACAATTTGCTGCCAGAATTAAAAAAAATAAGGGGGGAAGCTTATTGAAACGCAACGTTTCGTTGCTGTTGGAAGAAGGAAGGTGCTCAAAACGCTGGGAAGGTGCTCAAAACGCAGCGTTTTGAGCTTGCATTTTTGAAAAAAAAAATACAAATGCTGACTAACGCGTGACAGTGAGGGAGCCAATCCGGGAGCGCCACGTGGCATGGGCAGGCTGCTGGCCAATAAGAAAAATAGAGCTGTTGGCAACGGTCTTATTTTTTGTAATGTATTTTCTGAATTATATATTTAATAATAATAATATAAAAAAAAAAAAACCAACGGTCATTAAATTTAATTCTCTATAAATAGACATGCATTTTGGTATATTTTGGTATATTTTGGTATAATTTCAGAAATACCATAAATGCTCCAAATTCTTTATATTTCTTAAATATTCCGAAATTAGAAGAAGATTTTTGTTGTGTTTCACTGATTTTCAGGTATTTTTTTTTTAAATTCAGTTATTTATTACAATTAGTATATATGTGATTTTGTTGCAAATTAAAAAAATGTAGTTCATGTGATGTAATTGCAATTATATATAAAATTGTATTTAGAAAGTTGTTGATATTTTGTTCATATATTAATAAATATGACATTAATTTAATATGAATTTATTTGCTAATTTTTTGGAAATTGGGTTGTTGTTTTTTATATGTGAAGTAATTTGTTATGCTAATTTATATTTATATGTTATTTTTGTAAAGGTAGTTAATTTTGTTATATTATATTATGTATTATATGTTTTGTTTATATGTTGTTGAACGTGAATGTTGTATATTTAATAAATTAAGTGGTATTAGATTATTTTTTTGATTTGTTGTCATTTTAATTTGTTATTTAAATTATTCTTTTTAAAAATATTTATTTTTTGTTTTGTGATGCAGAATATTTTAATGGATCCAAACAACCCAAATTTTCGTCAACAATTTTCTGGTTTTTGTGATGATTTCCTAACTAATCCCGAGTTTCAATTGTTCTTGCAAAGAATGGGGAATACGTCTTTGCAACCACCTCCACAACATCAGACACCCACTGAGTTCCCTCTACAAAACCATGTTAATGAAGAACGTACACCTGAAACTGATCATGATAGCAACACACAATTTGATGAGAGCGAAGAGGAAAACGTACCAGAGACGCCGCAGTATCCTCCATCAGTTCCCAGACTGGAATCCAACCAGGTCGCTGCACGAGCGACTCGTGTTTGGTCTATTGCGGAAGATGAAGCTCTTATTGGGTTGTACTTGGAGATCAGCAAGGATGCTATTAAAGGTACGAACCAGAAAGTAACTGCCCTATCGCGCAATGTACACGCAGCATATGAAATGGCTCATGCGGAGAAGCCGCATATACTTCCGCCAAGGCCTATGAAGAGTCTGACGTCGCACTAGAGAAGGTTGGCAGCAGACACACTACGGTGGATATCTTGATATGATGAAGCGGGTAAACTTTCGGAGGGATCGGAGGGAGTGGTTACAACGAAGCTGACCGTATAAAAAGTGCGTTGAAGCTTTTTCATCTCGTCCAAGGTCGCAATTTCACTTATCCTCACGCAGTTGAAATGCTTAATAAAGATCCAGAGTGGAGGCCAAAGCTGAGATGGTCCTTGTCAAAGAAGGAAAGAAAAGCTGCTTGTGATGTTGAGGAGCAAGGTAGTGCTGGAAGTGGGAAGAGGTCTAGAGATGATGTAGGGGATGAAACCCCTACGGATGGTTTATCATTTGGAGGAATACAACGACCTGATGGTGTAAAGAAAGCAAAGGCCAAGCGTAAAGGGAAAGCAGTAGCTACAAAAAGTGGTTCGTCTGACCTTGGCGAATGAATGAAGGAATTCACTACAATTCGCGAAAGGGAGGCCTTTCTGAAGGAAGAGAGGATCAAAATTGAAAAGGATAAGGAATAGAGGAAACGGGAGGAACTTGACATTCATAAGATGAGAACCATGTTTGATATGCTGCAAACTCTGAAGAATTCACCTACGCCACTCACTCCTCAAGAAGAGGCGTACAAGAATTTTTTACTAGGTAAATTACAAGGCTCTTAAGCATGTAATTGTAGTAGGTCTACGCTTGTATTACTCAAGTTTTTAATTATGCGCAGTGTAGACTATTATTTTTAACTTGTATTAGTGGTGTGTTTAATTTCAATGTCTTATGTAAAATTGTATTCTGATTTTCCAATATTGAATGACAAGTTGTTTAACAAATTGATTTCAGTTGTCATTGTTATGGACATAATTGCATTCAGTTGTCGTCATTGGGTAGTCACTTTTTTCTGAATTCACTTTGTCGGAATGCTTTAACTTTGGGTCATTGATATCGACATAATTGCAATTAGTCTTTGTCATTGTGTAGTCACATTTTTCTGAATTCACTTTGTCAGAATGCTTTAACTTTGGGTCATTGATACCGACATAATTGCAATTAGTCTTTGGCATTGTGTAGTCATTTGATATATTTGTCATTGTCAACTAGCATAGTATACCTATTCCGTGGCTGAAAATTTGATTCCTTTAGTTGGTGTGGTCATTCAGATTTGTAACCACATATTCATTTGATATATTTTATATATATAGTAGGCATGGCACATATCCACTACCACACCACTTCAGAAACTTACAATATTAATACAAGATGTACTCCAGACCATCATCAAGTTCAAGTTCAAGTTCATCTTCTTCAAATACTGAAGAATATGATCAACTCGTTGATGATCTCTTCACATACCAACCCCCAACTTTCCTCATGCCCCAAACACAATCCCAACCCACTACAAAAACACCTAGAGGGGGTACGGATAGAAGAGATAGGGAAATGGGACATGCCTGGCTGTTTAATGATTATTTTTCCGATAATCCTGTGTACAACACCACCCAATTTAGAAGAAGATTTCGTATGCAACGACCTTTGTTTTTACGTATAATGAACAAGGCCGTTGAAGGTGATGTTTACTTCCAACAGCGTAGGGATGCAGCTGGAAGGTTAGGCTTGTCCCCTTTGCAAAAATGTACAGCCGCGATAAGAAAGTTAGCCTACGGCATGGCTGCAGATGCCGTGGATGAATACGTTCGAATCAGTTAGTCAACCGCTCGAGTTGCCCTTCAACATTTTTGTGCCGGGGTCATTCATCAGTTCGGAACCGAGTACCTGCAAAACCCTACAACTGATGATTTGGTCCGGATACTGCATCAAAATTTACTGCGTGGTTTTCCAGGCATGATAGGCAGCATTGATTGCATGCATTGGGAATGGAAGAACTGTCCAACGGCTTGGAAAGCGCAGTACGCCGGTAGGAATAAGAAAGCAACGCTAATACTAAAAGCCGTTGCGGATCAGGATTTATGGAATTCCTTCTTTGGTATTCCCGGATCTTGTAATGATCTTAATGTGTTGTACCGTTCACTAGTGTTCGATGAGGTTCTGCATGGTCGAGCTCCTCCGGTAAATTTTACAGTTAACGGCCATGAATACAACATGGCTTATTACATAGCCGACAGTTTTTGTCCGAAGTTGGAAACTTTTATTCAGGGTATCATATACCCTCAACTTCAGAAGGATAAAATGTTCACTGACCACCAGGCTGCTGCTCGAAAGGACGTTGAAAGAGCTTTCGGTGTTTTGCAAGCTCAATTTGCAATAATACGAAAACCGTCACTGGCGTACGATGAGGACATACTGCGGGACATAATGAAAGCATGTATCATTATGCACAACATGATTGTTGAAGATGAGCGCCACAACTACACTCGAGCCGAAGCTCTAAGAAGCTTCTACGAAGAAGATCAACAAGAATTAACAGCAGCATCAACGTCTACAACGCCACCGTTTGAATTCAACATAGGCCGACCTACCAACTTTGACTTTAACTCATTTCTACAAAGAAAAGCTTCTCTCCGTGATAGAGAAATTCATCTATCTCTGAAACGTGATTTAGTTGAACATATTTGGTTACAATACGGGCCAAGTAATTAGGGAAAAATTAGCACGACTTAAATAAGGCCAAGCACTATGGCCTACCTACTTTTCCGTACGCAGTCGGGCTATGTTTTAATTGTTTTGTTTATTTTATTCCCTAAGTTTAATTACGCATGACGTTGCAAATATAATTGGTTTCTAGTACTGTATCGCTTTTTAAAATAAATAAAAACATTTACGAAATTTTGAGCGTTTTTTTACAATTATTTCATCTAACGTACATAATTTAACGACAAGTTTACCGAAAAAACGACACAAATAAAAAAAATAAGTTACACAAATTTAGACTTGCTTTTATTTATTTGGAGTAATATTGTTAAAATATAAATGAAATTATTAAATAAAGAAGTGTTGTGTAGGAGGGAGAAAGTAATGGTGGGGTATTGAAAAAGTAAGAGAGAGAGAGTGGTGGGCAAACATTTTTTTTGCTCACCATTGGGAGAGAAATTGTGAAAAAAATTTGCCCATGGTCAAAACTGATTTGTTGAGAGAGAAAGTGGGTAGAGAGATAGTGGGCAAGCATTTTTTTTGCTCACCATTGGAAGTGGTCTAAGGTTTAAGTAACCAATTAACTTTTCTAATTTGACCTAATTTTGATCACCTACATTGCAAAACCCCAACCATCCACCTGTATCACAACCCTAACAACTTCCTCGCTAATAGCCCTACCTAACAAACCACTTGAAAAACTCACCTCACCCATCCGTAAAACCTCCCACAATCCACGAAAACCCTTTAACTCCCCGAAAACCCCTTTCTGCACCTGCGAAAGCCCTCCACATTTCTTACATCATCCAATAAAAACCTTAAAATGATTTAAAGCATTGTTTTATTCACCTTCATTTTTGATAATTTATAGTAAGCTATATAATAAGGTCTAAAGACATGTTTTGATGAGTAGAAATCAAATAAAGACATTCTAACAAAAAAATAAAAAGAAAAATTGCCCGAAATAATCCCACCTTTGGGGCGTCCACCCAAAATAATCCCACCTTTGGGTTATTTTTAAATAATCCGACCTTTATACCGAATCCGCTCAAAATGGTCCCAAGTAGCCCGTAACCTGTTAAGGAGGTAATTTTTTTTATTAAGTTTAATTTACACGTGTCACCACGTGATTGGTCAAAAAATAAGTTTTGATTTTAATTTTGTTTTAAGAAATGATTATTAGAATTAACATTAGTTTATTATTTTTAACTTTTTTATCAAAAAAAAAAACCTAAAATTTAAACCAAACCCCAGCCCCACCACGATCCCAGCCACCTCCCCGCCCAGCCGCCCCTACCATCGGCTTAGACAAGGCCTAGAGCCGCCAGCCCCATTGCGTCGTTCGCCGACCCTCCCCTACCCTCTTCTATCGCCACTAAACCACCACAAACAATCAACCAAAACCGAAATCAAGGTTATGGAAGGGGAGGAGGATCGAAATGCAGGCGTGGGAAGGGGATGGAGGCCGAAATCAGGGCGTGGGGAAGAGAAGGGGATGGGGCCGGAAAAGGGGAAGGTTTGGAAACGTGGGCGAGGAAGTGGTGGGAGCCAGATCGGGATTGGGACACTACTAGAAAAAGGGTTTTTAAATACGAAATAATTCGTCGTTAAAACTTTTAACGATGAAAAAAAAAATTCGTCATTTGTTCGATGTAATAGCTTCCTTCGTTAAAGGTTTTAACGACGATGTTCATTGTTAGATAATGACAACAAGATATCAATCCGTCGTTAACCACTAACGATAACTAAAGAGCTCGTCGTTAGTAGATATTCTATTAACAAAGAATTCATAAGCAACGAGGACCAAATTATCCCTCATAAAATAAAACTCCAACATTAGAAAAAGAAGCTAATGACGATATTAATGACCAAATATTTTCTTGTGAATGGTACAAGAATTCCTTAAATTTCAAGGAAACTATTATATATTCGATCAATAAAATTACAAAAATTAATATAAATAATATTAAACAAAATTCATAAGAATAATAAATTTTGAATTAATAATTACTAAGCATTCTATGTCCGGTGAAACCCAAATATTACACTATCCATAGGATCATTAAACTAATCAATACAAGGAAAACCAACATGGTTTATCTACATTTGACAATGAGTGGTATCAACGAAATAGCTTAACGAAGCCTTATATACTCCATTTCATAAATGACGTCTCTTTTTAACAGAAGAATTATGAAATTTGATAAATATATAAGTCCACCAGTTTCTTCTCTTGCTTCAAGGCTCCTCCAACTCCATACTTTTGTAGATGCATGCCTTTTCCTTTTCTTGTACCACCCTCCTCTATCTCCCCTGAAACAAAAAAGTAGAAGCTAGTCTAATGTATTGTTACCTATTATTTGTATATCCTTCTCTCATCTACTTCATATAAAGGTAAAAGTATCCTATTAAGAACAAAACTTCTACACAATATTTTTATTGTTTTTCAAATCATGTTTGCAAATATACAAACAGAAAATTCTACTGAGTAAAATGAGTTTCCTATACAGCTATACTTGCATCATCTCAATCATGCTTTCAAATTATAATTTACCAAATATGCATAGGGAAATGGTTAGCAACTCAGCATCATAAAATATACTCGTCCAAATGATATGGTTTATTTTAGCCACCCAACACTAACAATTCACCTAATAAAGTTGACACTAACACAAATACAGTACATAAAACAAACATGAATGATTGAAATCAAGAGTATATATGAATTCTTCGTATATTCTCCACACTCAACAAACTAAACCACAAAATATCATCAAATACCTTTGCTTTTAATTTTTAATTTCTAGTTCCTCAAATATAGACTAGATCTTCACAAAGACGCTTAAAAAGATGCAATAGATTCAATGTCAAACATTGAATTTGCAATTTACAAATCCAACAGCAAAAAAAAAACAATCAATGTCAAACATTGAATTTGCAATTTACAAATCCAACAGCAAAAAAGAAAAAAAAAAAACACATCCTTATGACAATTGGCCAATATCAAGTACTACTATAGTATAAATGATGACCCAAAATTTATTGAAATCTCACTAGAATCCAAAAAATAATGTGCTCTGATATTTGACAACTACTTTAATCAAACAAAGGTAAATTGAAACCCATAACAAGTGCTAATGAATTGATAGAAAAAACATTTCAATTGACGATTTTCACAAAAATTATTAAGGTCAACTATTGAATCAATTTCATATCGCCAAATTTTTTTTAACGCATGGCATTGCTGTAGAACATAAATTAATTAACAATCACAAAATTTAAATCGGATACATTATAAACAAATTTTGTACATGTTAACCATTAAGTAGCTAGAATTATTGTCAATAAAACTCATCATCACCAATCTATGGAACTCTAATTGAAATTCACATATAAATTAAAAGTACTCCGTAATAGATTGGAAACAAAACAAACACAAAAACTGAAAGCAACATACAATTATAAGGTTGTCGTGCGGCTGTGGCTAGGCCGATGTCAAGTGAAGGACTACGGCAGAAGGCGGCTAGGTATGGACGACGGTGGTTTCCGGTAGTTGGGCGGTGTAGAAGAGAGTGAATGAAACTGGGAGAATGAAGAGAAGAAAGAGGGCATCCGCGATTTGTGTGGTGTAGCAGCGTTAGGGTTTGGCTTGGGTTAGACGACAATGGCTGGCCTGGTGGTAGCAGCGGTGGTGTCGTGATGGCAGTTAGGCAGAGGTGTGAGATCAAGTAGGGAACAGTTTGTGAGAACTGAGAAGGGTTTTGTTTATACGGTGTATCTTAATTTTAATAAGGGTTTGGTAAAATTCATAAAGTGAGTTTACCATTAACGACAATGAAATTTTTTTTTTTTTTTTTAAAAATAAACCGCTACGTTTTTTAAAATTTTGAAACAGGCCTGCCTTTCAATTCAGTTTTTAATTTTAACAAGTTTAACGATAATTATTTTGATTTCGTCGTTGTTAGATGGTTTGTTAAAAGTGTCTTTCTAGTAGTGGGACGGGGAAGGGAATTAGAGGTTGGTTGGTGGTTCGGGGGAGGGGGGTTGGGCGCAGTGTTGGAGTCGGCGTCGGCGTTGGGGTTGGGATCTGGGTGGTCGGGGATGCGGGACTGGAGAGTGGCTTAGGTAGCCACCAGCCAGGGGTGGTTTAAAAATAATTAATTTTTTTTTAATTTTTATTTATAAAATTTAACTTTTTTAAAGAAAATTATTTTTTTATTTTTATTTTTTTGGACCAATCACACGCCGTCACGTGTCAAGTAAATTGTTAAAACAAGTTACATGACCAGTTGGGACCATTTTGAGTGGATTGAGTATAAAGCTCGGATTATTTAAAAATAACCTAAAGGTGGGATTATTTTTAGCGGACGTCCCTAGGGATGGCAATTCTAAATGGACATCCGCAAATTCGATCCACCCGATATAATTAAATGGATGAAGGGCGGGTGACAGATGAAGCGGGTGACAAATCGGGTCGGATACGGGTGGTGCTCCGTTTCATCCATCACTCGATCTGTCATCCGTTTATCACTTGCCATCCACCCGAATATATAATACATATGAATTATTCTTCTTCTCCAAAAAAAATAAAAAATTGACATTTCTAAAATAAAAATTACTATAAATTATTAGCTTTTATTTAAAAAAAATATAAAAGCCTTCTCTAATATACATATTGTACTACAGAGTACGTATGTACTTCATGGTGTTTTTTTTTTTTTTTTTTTTTTTTTTTTTTTTTTTAATATTTATTATTGCTATTGTTTGGGGTAATTAATATTTATTATTGCTATTGTTTGGGGTAAAATTACCCCAGCCACGTGGCCCAATGACAGCGCGACACGTGGCATTTTGCTATTGGTCAGCAGGTCTCCAATCCCCTGCTGACACGTGTCCTAAGAACCCTAAATGGGGGACCAATTCTCCCCACTATAAATAGTGGGAGAGTCCTCATTTATGGGGGATTCATTTGCATTCAATTCCTTCAAAAAGAATTCACTTACATTCAATTGGCACTCAATACCATCATAAATACATTTTACACAAAAACCGAGCAATCTTAATTGCGGAATTATCCCATTATGCGAGAAGTAATTACTCTCTTACGCACTTTCTTCCTCCCGTACATCAATGACTTGATCATCGGAGGCGGAGCTCCACCCAACCGGAGTCTTCGTGGTTTTGCAGGTACAGGCGGTCGAAGGGCATTCTTGGAATTGTAACTCTCCCGCAGGACACATCAAAAAACCCCGAAACATTTGGCGCCGTCTGTGGGGAGAGTACTTCTTAGATGGCTTCTAACCCTGTACCACCGGGTCAGGACAGGCGGCCATCGACTGAGCCTGAGGTCCATATGGACCATGAAAGCGGTGATGAGTACGACCTCAATACCTATGTGGCCCCAGACGGGTCCTTCAGAACAAAGCACACCCGTTCCAAGGATAAGAAGGAACGGGAAAACATCCAAGCTGCTCCAAGCAACCCAGCCGGCAACACGGTTGGGGCTGCCCAGGCGACAGAGGGCTCTACTCCCGTCACCAGGAGCGAACTCATGACTTTCATGAATAGTTTCAAGGGCGAGATCCAGAACCTCATCCGGTCAGCTACTCCCAAGAAGAGTCAGCCGGCCAAGAAGCCTTCTTCTAGCAAGAAGGCTATTAAAGACCGGGTCCCTACCCCTCATCCAAAGCCGAAGGAGGGGGAGGGCCTCAAGTTCGATCAAAACCGGCTCCGCTTCCCGCAAGCGGAACCCAGAAAACCCATCCGACATCTGCAGCCGGATGGTTCAAAAAAGATATTCTCGGACGCCCGAACGTTTCTCCAAGAAAAGAGAAGTCTGGCGTCCGCGTCGGCTTCAACGTCAACCTTTCCAGAAAGTTTCCGTGACACCTCTAACAGGCGTGCGGGAACAAGTCTAGGGAGTCAGACGGGCGAACCATCCGCCCGGTCTGGACCCAATGTGATCCAACCTGGTCTGTTCGGTTCGCCAAATGGGCTGGGTGGATCCCCTTTTACCCAAACGGGTCCGTTTGGCAGAAATGTGCAGCAGTCGTTCCAACTCATGGATTGGTAGCAGCGCCTGCTAAACCTGGGAGAACAGCCCTCGGCGTTCTCCCCTGAGATAACCCAGGCGGCACAGCCGGCCAAGATAAAAAACGTGTTGGTAGGGGCCTATGATGGTACCTCCAACCCAGAAGATCATTTAATGGCTTATTCCAACCTCATGTACCTACAGGGGTTGGATGATGTCGTCTGGTGCCGATGCTTCCCGGCTACCTTGAAGGGCATTGCCCAACGGTGGTTTGGTAACTTACTAGCCGGCTGCATCAATAGCTTCAAGACCTTGGCGTATTTGTTTACGTCAAACTTCTCAATGAACATCCCGGCTAAAAAGACAAGCCTCGATCTGGGAGCAATACAGCAGGGTGACAGAGAAGGACTCCGGTCGTATGTCAGGCGGTTCAATCTGATGAGAATTCATATTCAAGGATTGTCTGATGAGGTTGCTTACACAGACTTCTTTAAAGGTCTGAAGGATGGGTCGACTTTCAAGTTTGACCTCGTCCGGAAAAGGGTAGCCACCCTCCAAGAGGCGTTAATGGAAGCTGAAGCCTACATACAGGCGACGGAGCTTTGTGCTGTAAAGCAGCCGTCGGATTTCAAAAAATATGACAGAAGAGACAGCCGGCAACAACAACAACAGCCGGCTAAAAAGGAAGAAAAGAAGAGAAAAGAGGTCTGGGCGGCAGACCGATCTGGTCAGCCGGCTCAGAAGCTCAGACGAAAATCTGAACCGTACGTCCCCAAGTACGAGTTCACAAAGGACTGCTCCTCCATCCTCATGGAGATCAAGGACCGGATGTCTCTCGACAAGTCGGCTGTTATGAAAAGCCCCGTAGGCAGCCGGGACAAAAGCAAATACTGCCAGTACCATGAGGATGTTGGCCATGACACTAATGGTTGCTACAGCCTCAGGCGGCTATTAGACCGTCTGGCCGATGAAGGGGCTCTAAAGTCTTATCTGCCCAAAGCCAAGGGCAACACCCTGACCAAAAAAGGGCAGGCGGCAAAAGCTGTTCTTGCAAATTCAGAAACGGATGAAGAGACTATCTTCACAATAGCAGGCGGCTTTATCGGCGGGGGTCCCACTATTCGGGGCACCAAAGATAACATCAGGAAGCTGGTTAACTCAGTTGAGGAGACCCAGGTGTCGAAAGACATATTTCCTAAGGTCCTTATCTTTGAAAAGGACCGGGGCAAGGTCATACGGCCTCACGATGACCCCATAGTCATTGAATCCAAGGTTGCCAATCAGAGAGTTGGCCGGATCCTAATAGATACCGGGAGCTCGTCTGACCTAATCAGCTATCAGTGCTTGACCAAGCTCAAGTACAAATCCAGTAGCATGCACCAGGCGCCCCACCCGCTTGTTGGGTTTGGGGGAGGTGTAGTGCATCCGGTAGGGAGCATAGATCTTCCCATCCGGCTGGGTGAAAAGGGGGAAGGACGCCACATGGTAATCAAATTCCTGGTTGTAGAAGAGCTTGCCGCCTACAACATGATTTTTGGCCGTCCAACCCTCAATGAATCAAAGGCTGTCGTCGTTCCCTCTCTCATGCTTGTCAAATTTGAAAGGGATGATGGAACAGTCGGTTCCCTTAAGGGGGACCAGAGGACTGCTAGGGAGTGCTATCTCTCTGACGTCAGACCTACTATGGGGGCAGCCGGAGTCGGCAACCCCATAAACCTTGATAACTGCGATGCAGCAGTCCCGGCTACAAGGGCAGCCGGTAAAAAAAGAAAGGCGGGCCAAACGGACCCCGTCAAACACGAAAAATAGCAATCACTAGCCGGGGAAAGGTCAGATGATCAACGACCTCAGCCGGATGGTGACTGCATTGATGTCGTCCTCGACGACAGCCGTCCTGACAGAGCTGTCAAGGTTGGGACGGTTGCTTATGAACGGTTGGGTGCAGACCTGCTCCAACTTCTAAGAGAATTCACAGACATCTTTTCCTTTGAAGTGGAGGAGATGCCAGGCGTCAGCCCGGATCTAGCTGTTCACAAGCTTGCCGTGGATCCTAAAAAGAAGCCGGTCAGGCAGAAAAAGAGGGATCACGGTGAAGAGAGATCTCAGGCGGCAGCGCCTGAGGTCAAAAAATTGCTAGAAGCTGGGTTCATCCGGCAATGCTACTACCCGGTTTGGGTAGCAAACGTTGTCCTCGTGAAGAAGCCGAATGGTACCTGGCGGATGTGTGTAGACTACACAGATCTGAACAAAGCATGCCCAAAGGACAGTTACCCGCTTCCAAAGATCAACAATCTGGTCGACTCTACAGTCGGTCATGCTCTGATGAGTTTCATGGATGCCTACTCAGGTTTCCATCAAATACCCCTATGGAAAAAAGATCAAGAGAAGACGGCCTTCGTCACTGATCAGGGGTTATTTTGTTACAAGGTGATGCCGTTTGGGTTAAAGAATGCACCGGCTACATTCCAGCGCATGATAAATACCGTCTTCATCAATCAGATTGGCAGGAATGTAGAGGCGTACATTGATGACATGATAGTCAAATCCAAGCTATAGACGGATCACCTACTGGACCTCCGAGAAACATTCACCACACTCAGGCGGCACCGGGTAATTCTTAACCCAAAGAAGTGTGTATTTGGTGTTGAGTCTGGGAAGTTTCTTGGATTCTTGATCGATCAAAGGGGCATAGAGGCTAATCCGGAAAAAGTACAGGCGGTCATTGACATGCGGTCTCCCCGCACTGTAAAGGAAGCCCAAAAATTGACCGGTTGCCTGGCGGCGTTGGGAAGATTTCTCAGCCGGTCAGGTGACAAGTGCCTCTATTTCTTCCAGGCCATCCGGAAGAGGTCCAGATTCGAGTGGGGTGAAGAGGCGGAAATGGCATTCCAGAAGCTAAAGCAACATTTGCATTCGTTGCCAAGGCTAGTGAGCCCCCTGCCCCGGGAGGTTCTTTGCATGTACCTCGCCGTCTCTGATCATGCCCTTAGTGCCGTTCTCCTCGCTGAGAGAGACGGTAACCAGCTACCGGTGTATTTCATCAGCCATGTGCTTAAGAATACTGAACTTCGGTATCCCATGATCAAAAAAATTGGGCTGGCCCTGTTCGTCGCAGTCAAACGGTTAATGCCTTACTTTTTGGCTCACCCGGTGATTGTATATACAGACCAGCCGCTCAAGCGCCCAATGACCACCATTGAGTCATCCGGCAGAATGATCAAGTGGGCTGTTGAAATACAGAGCCTTGAGATAACTTTTGAACCCAGGCGGGCGGTGAAAGGTTAGGCGTTTTCCGACTTCATTGCCGAGATGACTAGGCCGGTGCAACCGGAAAATCCTGATCAGGTTTGGAAGTTATTCGTAGACGGTAGCTCTACGGTGAACGGTTGTGGTGTAGGCGTTATATGTCATTCTCCGGAAGGGGATAAGTTTGAGTATGCACTACGGTTTCGGTTCCAAGCCTCTAATAATGAGGCGGAGTATGAAGCCCTGCTAGCCGGTATACGCATGTGTAAGGCAGCAGG